TCCTGCAAGAATATTCGAAGAAATTTTGACCTCGGTACTTAATGAGCGCTTTCCCGAGTCTCACTGAGCAACAAAAGAAAGCTTTGTTCGCTGCGTTGAGTCGAAAGGATGTGTTCACCATTTTATCAACCGGACATGGAAAGTATATTTTCTGTTACAATACTGTCATTCCATTAAATAAACTAACTTGTTTAGGGCAGCAAAATAAGAAATCTCCGAATACGGAATGAAAGTTTCCTTGTAGGAAAAAAAAACATACAACTTTGTACAAGTGCGTAATCATTTTCGGTGCAGCTTGATTTTCCTGCGACGCCCAAAAAAGATCTAACCGACGCTATTTTTGGCATAGACCTATTCGGTTAACTCAATGTTGTACCCAATTCAAATCTCCCGGGGATAAGATTCTTTGTGTATTGCACTTGCATTATAATGTGGTATTCACACTTAAATGATATGGAAATTCCTGAAACAAAACGTTTTATTCCCAAAGGGTTTGAATTGGGTACATTGAGTTAGCCGAATAGGTCTATTGGGCCAACAAAAACCTCTGAAAGTACATTCCGAACCTTAAGGGTTTGTTGTGCTGCATGACTCTTCCTAGCGTCGCTGTTCCACAAAAAAAGGAAATGTAGCAACCAAACCAAAATGCGAGCCAGATTGCCAGAATACATATTAATATTACTATTTTCAGGGGAATGCCCGCGCATCGACGCGAACGGCGCGCCCCGCAGAAGTAAACAATGTAATAAGCGCGATTGATAGACTCTTGCAAACTTTACAACTTCCCGCTGGCACACTGCCGACAGAACAGATGACAATGTTTGTGAAAAATCCTTGTTATTATACCCAAATAAATTCTGCAAATCCTGCAGCATTCGTTTGGAACAATGTCGGTTTCTTTATAAAGTGGTCTTCTTATTCCTGGACTCTTGTCGCCCATTGTTAACACATGCTTTAGCTTGACCCCGATTAACAAATCACCCTTTACCACCCAAGTGAAGATGGTTTGTTCATAACATAATTTCCCCAGGTCTACCCCCACTTAAAAAAATAGCGGCTGATAAGCACGTGTTTGCTAAGTTGCCATTGGTCACTCTTTTTATTAGCAATTTGACGCGTTTGACAGCTGTCATCTGCATGGAAGTGAGATTCGAGGTCAAGGTAACCAGAGGTTTTTCTCTCTCTCCTCGTCGCTTACGCGACTCGTTGTCGCCGCATCGCGGCTTGCTGTTGATCTCTTTCGCCAAGAAAAATCAAGAAAAACCTCTGGGACCAGGGTACACGATTCATAGCATGACATCACTTTTTTTTTCTGACTCGCGCGGTTCCCATGTGGAACATCGATCAAGAACTCGAATCTCATGTCAACGCTTCCCGTAATTAAATCTTCTTAGTGTTAACAGGAGCCGCTTTAAAAAACACGTCACCGTTGTTTTTGCTTCTGTACTGGACCGAGTAGCACGTCTTGTAACTGTATGCGAAAAGGACAAAGTACAAAATAGCACGTGTTGTTTCCGCATTGCATAATACCATGACAAACGTCTTTCGTGTTACGTGGTGTAACACCTTTGACACCTTTTACCCGCTGAAAAGAATGATTCGAGTTTGCTTCATTCTGCTATGTCAGCAATATTACGTCAAATCTTCAGTTTCAAGTTTTACTCGTTCAATTTACTCCCACTATATCGGCTGTCGTGCTGAGCCCCAGTTTGGTTATTTTTGTTTTTCTGTCAAGCACACCCATAACCTGTTAAAACTGTCTAGCATTATACTACGCATTGTTCTCGAAACTAGAGGGGGCAAGTTTGATTTTTTTAAAGCATATTTTCATTGCTATATTTTTTACTTGATTTCCTCAAGTATTTTGTAACATCTGCGCGAATATCCTTTTTAGAATAATCGGTATTAGCCTGCGAAAACATCCGTTTCTCCTCGCTCTTCGCCGCTGGGGACGGATGTTTTCGCAGGCTAAATCGGTATGAAAATTAAAATAACCAGCCACTTAATAAGGGCCATGGAATTGATTAGTTTAATATCAGTTTAAATGAACGGTAGTTAAAGTACATATGTATTTTACAATAAATAACAACTGCCATGTGCCATATGTCGACTTTTTCCAAAGTTATCTCTAGAAATGCCTTTCTGTAAAATCTACCGAATAGAATTTGGACAACTTAACCTTCGCCTTTTGAGCTAGAAAAAAAAAATCCTTTTTTTCTTTTTGAAAACCGCTTTCACCTAGGCAATAGCTTTTTACGGCGAGAGAAACTTCAAAATGATTTAGCACTTAATTGACCTTGTCTCTTCTCAATACACTTAAACTGACTGTGAAAGACACGCTTGTGCCAGAATTAAAGAAGACACAAAGTTAAAGGTTTTGGTTCAAACTGCTCCTACCGGCTTTCAATTTTACGCAACCAATAATCAGCAATAAAATAATTACAGCAGTAGTTGTTAATTGAACTGACCTCGAAATTAATGTTCCTCTTTACTTTGATGG